TTTTGTTATTTGTCAGACAATAATAAGATTTAAAACAACCCTGCATCATTACTTTTCCTTCTCATCCTACAGAATTTGTTAAATTTAAGAAAAAAGGGTCGTACGTAGAGTTTTGTCCGCTACTGTACATGTATTTTCAAACAAAAAGGTTTTCGATGCTTGGACTTGAGATTGATCGATCTGTCCGTATGACAGCTATAAGTATGTTATAGCGACGGTACCGACATACATATTAGCAACTTCTTGAAGAAAAAAGGATGTGTGTGAATATTTCAGAGCGGTATCTCGAAAATATTAAAACGCTGGTCAGGGTATAAAAAGTGGAAGTTATCGATCTTTATGTTTGAACCAAAAATTTTCAAGAAACTAACAGACGTTATGAAACAATTCAATTTGAACAACATTAGCGGTTGGTATTTAATTGCATCGATATAAGATAATATATGATAAATAGATGAGGATTGCATAGCGACCTTAAGTCTATTGTGCACTCTCACAACGACCCACTTAGCTCCAGGATATTGACAAGTTCCAATTTACTGTTAGGTACTAGTGAGGCGATATGATCCCTATTTGTAAACATGAATCAAAGGGCTTTTATCCTGAGTCTGCAGACTGTTATGCAGTCAATTAGCAAGTGTTTTGGAGTTTTGAGGCATCCTGTAACAGATCCGGTAATTTGCACAAGAAGCTATGGCAGTGTTATGTAAGTGCAATGGCCAGTGTAGAATGCGATAAGTAAACTGAGTTTGTCCCTAGGGAGGTTGATTACATATTTAAACCTGCTGAGTTTGTAATCAGCCATTAGCAACTTGGCATGGCACATATCTCAGAGTTGTTGCCAATACCTCTCCCTGCCTACTCCTTCTTCCTTGCTGAGGAGCTTCTTTAAGGTATGAGGACCCACCGCAATGAAGGGTTCAGGCTATACATTTGCGTCCGGGCACCCAGACAAGGTGCACTTGGTTCCTATAGGCTGTTCAGCCGTTCTCTACATTCCTGCACCAGTAGCTATTTGTTTTCGTAGGCAGTGATTGCTTTAAGTACCGGTTGACTGTCGCTAAGTATGATTATGTATTGGTTGTGATAGTTGCATTGGAGGTTTATCTCTATGCACTGACTTATGGCAAAGACCTCTGTGACCTCTTCGTAATGCTGTCCCTTGGAAGAAGAAGTAGTGGTATTTCATCACTTAAGCCTTATACGTTGGGATCAAATTACCTTACCTCTGCCAAACCCTTCTGCTGTCTTGAAGCAATGTGTATTTGGCTACCTGACTGATTATTAGGTGAAGTAGTGCAAGTTGAAATATTACTGCCGTCGGGCATATGCATGCAAGTCGTTGCAGCTTCAGTAATTGGTGCTCCACCAGAGTCTGCGATGCTTTTGAGAAAAAAGCTCTGAATGGTCACGAGATCTATGATGTTAACTAATCGGTTCACAATTTCTTCTGAAATTAATATATATTCATTTGAAAAATTTTTATTAGAAAATTTGCAGATACCTGGAGGTATTTAATTCTTATATGTAAATCCAATGTTCGGCTGCGTCTAAATTTACCCTTTCCTCAACAATCTAAATATTTACTGAGGGAGACTTTTAGTATTAACACTTATGGATGAACAACTAATTGAAATAGATTTATTCGTGCGCCTTTCATTAGCTCATCTAGTTGGAAGGACAAATTAATTTCTTTATTATCAATTTTCCTTTATATTAAGGAGTGAGTAGAGTCCTTTCCATTTGTGTATGCCCTACGAATAAATATTTATAGGCAATGTGGTTATCTCCATAAAACGTTATTAAGGCATTGTATAATACTGCATTCCGTTTTTGATAAAAGCAGCCATCACAATACATATATAATAATATTGGGGGATTCGAACTTTATGCAGATGTCACACATATAATTTCTTGGTTTAAAGTCGAGAAATTATTATTTTTATTTAAAATTTTCATAAAATTTGGGAAAGATACAAGAGAGATATCATTTTCATTATGCAATTTAGAGTCTCGGGAAGAAACTTCATACATATTTGCATACGATTTAAATTCCGATTCAAAATACAAATACAATTTATTTGTATACTGACGTCGGTAATGGAATTTTTGATTTGTAATATCTTCCAACCAATTAATTAAAGATTTCAATCTATCTTGATAGTTTTTATTTCAACTGAGTGATATAAAGTTCACTGGAACTAAACAAACTTCTTACCATAGTTTTGGAAATACCAAGGGTTAACAAAACCAATTTACTGTACATCTGATGACAATCTTTTTTAAGATGCCAAAAATGGTCAAATATTTCCTTTCGCATATTTTCTGAATAAAGAGAACAATGCCGAGAGGAACTTCTTATACAACAATTTGATGCGCATACAGCTTTTATTTCTCGTGGTTACCTTTCGCAAATAGTTCCTTTTGATAAGCCGACATATTTTTAACCATACATTCGATTTTTTTATATTATCTTTTCTTTTGTTAATTTTTTACAACCTTTCCAAAATCTTTAATTATGGAACACATTTTATTATTTCAGAACACTTTTCGTTCATTCTTTTTAATTATGTTATAATTTTTACCTATAAAAATAAACACAAACAATAAATCAAGGCTAACTTTGTATAAAAAAAGAACAAATACTCTGTTATTTTGTTTAACGAAATCATGCACTTGGTATGTTCTTTTGAAATTTTATAACATAATTTTGGTATTTCTGATAGCGGAAGCTTAAAATTATTCAATAAACTCAATTACAAATTTTTGATGATACGCTTTTTTTGCATTTTAGGTAACGGTAATTTCCGAATTACATCTAGATAATCTATTACGTTAAGAAAATAGAAAAGTGCTGCCAATTTCAGCAGATTCTTCGCGACATCTGTTGGGCGGTGACCCTTTTATTTAAATAAAAGATTAGATTACATTTCAGCATATTATAACCCAACAGTGTTCTCACTGCCGTTAGAAAGATCAAAAACAGCTGCTATTGTCATTCAAGAATTCACATCGCTTAATATTTATCAAAAGAAAAGATTGTCATATAGTATTTTGAAATAAAAGTCGTATTTTTTTTAAATATTTTCCACATAAAACAAATAATGGATGCATTTTTTTAACTTGTTCAGTCGATTTTCAGGTGAAATTAGATTCATTGCTTTAAAAAAATCTGTTTGTTTACCTTTTATCCCTTTGTAATGTAACAGATTTCCACTGCTGACAAGTAGATTGCGCAAAATCAGTGTCGCACAGAGAGATTTAGCGTGGATCAGTTTCAAATCATTTCAATGAAGTGATTTGGAACTGTCATTTTGTATGGCGAAATCGTGATAAAATTTTAAGATTAGTGGGATAATCCATTCAACAGCCGAAATTGTGTGATTAAGTGTCGGTATGAACATGGTATTATTCCAAAATTTTTTTCTATTATTTGCAAAATTCATGCAGTAATTATAATTATTGTTTTAAGTTCATTGATATTCGAGTTAAATCATTAGGGGTTAAAAGAAATAAATGTGAATGCATCTTAACATTTTAGGTGAATATGTGTAAAAAGCCACTCCACTTTTGAATTTTTTTTATTATTATAATTGTATCCGCTAAATGTTACTACCTTTGTTTGAGTTCGTTTCTATTTCATGCATGCATATTATATTACGAAATTTTAAAACAAAATTCTAATTTCCAGACATATCGTATATATTCATTTCTATCCGACGCTATTTCAATCAGGAAAGGAATTTCAAACTGAAAGTAAATTCTGAATTGCGTAGCAAGCGCCTGTTACAAACCAGAACACAAAGCTTGGCACCCGAGCACGAGTGAGACGATACCTGTGCCATTCCTCGCCGTCCTCTCGACTACAAGAAACCGTTTCAGCGACAAAAGAGTTCATGTGTGAACTGGTAAATAGGCGATAGACAAATGCAGCACTGCGCAAATGTCAGTATTTGACATTCTCGCAATCGGAAGATGCATATTTTCCACTTTTCGCTTTTGTTCGCCACTTTTAGCGAATTTCTCAATTTATGTGTGTGTTAAGAGGAAAATCGAAACGAATTTTATGGCTGCTGTAAAATCTTCGTAGAGTTAGCACAGTAAAGTTATTTCAAATTTAACAAGAAGTGATTTAAATATTCTACAAAGAGTGAACAATTGGAATATTTTCTTTAACCTGGACGTAAAGCATCTAATTGGAGAATTTGATAGATTTGCATTTCTTAGTGAGCTTTGCTGAAGCCACATCTTGATAATTGACATTATTTTGCACAGGGAGAGGTAGTAGCAATATTTGTTGAAGCGGTGGAGGAGCTGAAGCAGCACCAGCCGCGAAGGCAGGAACGACTTTTATATAAACGGCAGCGATCTAAGATTATGGATCACAAGAAATCTCCAGTAAGAAGACAGAAGCGACAATCCAAAGCGATCGAGGAGAATTTCTGGGACTGCAGCGTCTGTACGTACAGGAATACAGCTGAGGCATTTAAATGCCGTATGTGCGACGTGCGGAAAGGTGAGTGACCCTTTTACGAGTACGGACAATCTTTATGGAAGTGTGTGTGCATCTCGATGTAATTATGTATGTATGTATTCAATATATACAAAAGTCTATATTTTCATCGAAACATGAATAATAATTGTAACACCATGCATTTCCGCATTTTTGGTTTAAGTGCTGTTAATATTCACAAAAGTGTAAATATAAATGTGTGTAAATAGTTTTGTGTACCTGTTAAGCTCGTACAGCGGTGCTATGTGCGGTATGTTTACAGAAGTAATGAGAAGCTGTGAAATGAGGCTGAGGCCAATCGCTTCGTTGCAATGTAGGCCGCACACAGCCAACTAAAATGGAACAGTGGCGGGCGGAGGCAAGAAATACAAATAAGCGCCTTTTTGTTTTTTACTGTAAAAATGGGGTTATACATGTATATTTTCATACGTATATACAAAGAGCAACTAGGTCGTTTGGATTGTTTCACGCCGGGCCTTCGTTTTTTTGTTGGGTTGAGTATGCATTATCTACATTAACTATCGAATTGCTGCATCACTTCACAGAATTCGCTTGTGTTCGTTAGCTTTATTTTAGTTTTATCTATTTTCTGTTTCTGAATTCGCACCAGTTGTTATCAATCAAATTGTTTGCATATAAATTTGTATGTAGATACATACATACTTATTTCATGGCCAGCAAATTAGCCTCATCATACCTAGCAAGTTTCAATATTTAAGGGGGTATCCGAGGGGCAGAATATTTCGTGTTTTTATGCACTGTTTATATTTGTAGAATGCGAAAGTGTGAAAAGCAAATTCGGCGATAGTTTAGCATGTAAAGCAATCCAATCAAAAACACCATTTCAATAATCAACTATGACGGCCTTCTCAAAGCAGCTGTGGTTCTGGTTTTATCTATACCGCAATCTGTTTGTTTATGTTATTGTAGGTGTCGACATTAATTTTCATGATATTTTTTGATTAAACTAAATTACAGTTGTATGCATAATATTTACATATGTACATATGTATATGTACTTTTCAGAAAAAATAACCCCGGGATGGAAATATTTATTTTTTCCGAAGATCCATTTTTACTATATTTCAAATTCTTTAATTCCAAGAAGATAAGTTTTGGTATAAGAAATAATCTTATTGTAGTGCATAAGTTAATTATTATACATAATAAGATTTCGAATCGTTTATTCAAATATTATGATTTCTCACATTTCTGAAACCCTAATAATAAAAGAAAATTATTACAGGAACTTCCACACGTAAGCCACGACTAAATTCAGCACTCGTCGCGCAACAAGCTGCCACTTTACCCGGCGCATCAGGCACCATGCCAAACGGTACGAAATCCGCCTCGGGCTCACGGCACGGTGCTGGTCATGATAAGAACAAGCATAAAAAGTACCCGGCCCGTTTGAAGAATGTCGATCGCTCGACGGCACAAACGCGCGAAGTCACTGTGAACTCGGTGACAGTGTTCATTACCGAATATAAACCCAAACCGGTGGGCAGCCGACGCGAGTCCAGTGAACAAAGCTTTAGCGAAAGCAATGACTCACGGAGTTAAATTTTGTACGCGATCACACCGAAACGGCAAACAGTTAAATTCAAATAGTAAAGATAACATATAATTCAATAAGTTTATGAGGATTGACACAGTAATTGTAACTAGGACAAACACGGTTTTAGCTAATCAAGGATATATACATAAATATTTGTAGGATAGTATCTGGAGTTTTTTGTAAAAGCGATTTGCATATCGTTGCTGGGCACATTTAGCCACTATTGGCACGTGCCGGGAAGTCGGAGTACGGTTCTGTTTGTTGTAGCATTTTGTACGTCAACAAATTTCGTTTGATTATTTGCTAACACAGCATATAAAATAATAGCTGTAGCACAGACTATGAGGGCTAACCTCTACTAAAATGCGCGAAATTCTGTGCAGCAACACTGCCTTCAGTTCTCAGACTAGAAGTTATAGCCAAGACATTTTTACACACTCAAACAGTAATGTCCTTAAATAAATAATGTTAAAAGCAAACAAAAAAAATAACACAATGAGAAAATAGCGATTAAGGACAGCGACCAATACATAAATACAAAAGAAAAAATAATAATTATATTAAAAATAGTAAACCAACAACACAACCACGAGAAGTTTAAACTACTTATCAACTTCCAATTAACTGCACTATTGCACTTCTTACAGCAAATAAAATTACTCGTTGTCTATATGTTTGCAATTCCAAGTGTATTACAATGTATATGTTATTGAGAATAAGCCACAAGGCTTTGTTACTACTGTTTTTTGTTTATATTTTAACTGTATTATTGTATAGTTAGTGTTAGTTTTTAAATAATCGAAATTCTATAAGAAAAAAACGAATATTCCACAAGCGTATTTTAATTTGTTTAGTATTTAGTTCACAAATCTGTGAAAATTTTATGTAAATTGCATGCATAAGTAAATGATCTAACAATTATGTAACACTAAGCGGTTGAAGCACAGCTAAACTAAGCAGTTATCAGAGTCCTTTTTGCATATTTGTGCGACTATTGTAAATAATATAAGCATATACTATATTTGTTTAATTATATTGTAATAATTAAGTTGTAATTAATGTTGACATTTTAAAATCATCGACTATGTGCAAAAGCTGAGAAACTTGACTATTTGTTAAACAGATACATTGTGTTTCCAATGGAACAAATAATTTCAATTATTTATATTTAAAATAACATAAATGCCGTACGCGAAAAATTAATAAAATTTAGTTTAAATTTAGTTAATATAAAATCAAAATAAGTTTACAATAATTTATCCGAAAAAATAGTTGTCATTTGAAACTGAATATTTTTCGAAAATTAAAGATAAAATATTAAAAAATATTGTAAATGTTCAAATCTCACAAAATTCAATTTTAATTGTTCAAACTACTTTCTCCAACTTCCGTGGGTTTAAACGATCTGTCTAAAATTTAAATATTCTTCAAAAACTACAGCCAAATAAATAAATTCGCTTACTGAGTTTTCACATACTTCCAATAGTTACCAACAGTTTGGAAATGGCCAACTGACTCTTTTTGACTCGTCTTCGGCACTTGCCATTTGCAAACATAAATATATATACATACACAAACAACCATACATGTACGTGCGATCATTTAGAAGCACTCGAACAAAGCGTAATTAACGAGCTAACTGAGAAATAGCGTAAATATTTTCGTTTACATAAAAAAGACTGATTATTCATATGTAATGCAAATGTGAATACTTAAGTTTTCCATTTAAGGCATTGTTATGTTATCTATATGCGTCGAGCTCCTTAGCAGATTCTTATTTGTACGTTCATAAAATTAAAAATTAAGTTTAAAATATTTGAAAATGTGCGATTTTATGAATTTTGTATTAAATCTTATTAGTATTATTTCGTCACAGTGATTGCAAAGCGAATACATGTTAAATATATTTTATTAATACATGCATAATATATAACTTAAAGAAATTGTAACTAATTTTTTTCTATTTGAAAAATTATCCCTTTAAATAAGCGTTAAGTTACTAGCATTTAAGTTGACTATTATCATTTGTAGCCGGTAATTTGTTTAACAAACGCTTGCTGTACTCGTATGAGCATGTGCATGCGAACGTGCGCAAATAAATTCGCTTTTTAGTTGAAAATTTTGTGTTGCCTAATATATGTGAGACGCCAGCAGTCACAGCTGTTGACCTTAAAGTTACCACAAGCGAAGCGTAATTTGCTTATAACAGCATTATGTAAGTTTCTAAATTGATATTAAAGCCCCTAATTCTTCAATATGATATGTACATGGTGTATGTTTGTAAGTAATAGCTTCGTTTTAATAAATTTGTTCAAGCAGCGTTGCGTCGCAATTTAATAGTGTTTGTAAGCATGAAGTGACCTTGGAAGAATTCTTCATTTAAAATAACAGCGTAGCCTCGACAGTGTTTTCTTTTTGACTTATAATCGGTTTTGAGTTTTTTCAAATTATTGAAATTTGTCTCGAATTAAACAAACGATTCGACAGTGAAATACAAAAACAACAAAAAGCAAAGAAAACACATATATATGTATACATAAACAACGAACAACGCCGTTACTGATGGCCTCAAGAAATAGTGAATTTTTTTACAAGCACATAAATTTGTATTTGTAACAGTACATTCATGTGTATGTATTTATATGTAAGTGTGTGTACGTTATGGAATTTTGTATTGACATTTTTCTAATGGAAATTTTGTCTTTTCTAAAATAGCATTAAGTTTTGTAAACCAATAAAACAAGTATTTTATATCAAACCGATTTTGAAACCAACGCACTGAATGTGTGTCTAACAGCCAATAGGATTATATGTATTGAAATCACAAAACTCAATAGGCAGTAAGCCTTCAAAGCAGTTATTTAAAAAAAAAAGGTTTTTTTTTTTTTTTTTGATAATTTTTTTTTTTTTTTTTTTTTTTTTTTTTTTTTTTTTTTTTTTTTTATTTTTTGATAATTCCTCGTAGCTACACACCTTTCTTTAATGAAATTTCTAGAACCAGAATTTTCCCAAGATTAAAGCGAACACATTTTATATTCATATATACATATGTACATACATACAAAGGGTAAAAGTTAGTCATGCAATTATATAAAGATTTTTAAGACGAGCTAAAACCGAATTCCAGCAGTAATTGTAAGAAAATGAGTTGCTATGATTTCGTGTTTCTTTGAGACAAATTCGTTAAACTTATTTCGCTTACAACAAGCAATGCTCTAACAATGTTTCTCGGCATTTAAATACATACGTTCAAATCAGTTACTGTGTGGGTTTCGTTGTTCGTTTGGACACATTCTCCACAAAACTAAAATTACAAAGAATAAAACATAATTAGTGAATTTTGTTCCAATATAAGATTAAGAAGCAACTACTGTATCATATAAAATAAAATAATAATAAAAAAGAGAGTTATGCAAATTGTAATTATAATTTTAAATATATGGGTAACATTATTATAAACCAAACATTAATTAAAAATTCGATATAACTGCGTCTCTTATTTTGCAAAAGGTTTTGTAGCACAAACGGTGAGTAAGTTCTCTAAGTAGGTGAAAGAACTCTTGGTAATGTACATTTAGATGCCAAAGTTTGTAAGGCTACTGGATTATAATTGCTGCTATACTTCTGCTGTAAACTATAATAGAATTTTGCATTGCGAATTGTCAGTATACATTGTGACAAAAAATTGTAAGACTCTGTTCATCTTTATATATAAAAAGTATGTGTCACGTTGTTTGTTCGCGATGAACTCCTAAACTACTGAACCGATTTTAGTAAATTTTAGCACATTGTGTCCAGTTCGAACCAACTTAGAAGATAGGATAGTTAAAACAATTCATAAATAAAGAACACAGGACAAACGGACATCTCCATTAACCATGCACATTGTTGGTGTTTATTAAGTACAATCTATTAAGCGGACAACATAGGTGGTGGGACGATATTGGTTGAAATTTGGCGAAAAACGCACAAAGAATCAATGCAGTATGCAACGGTGCTTTATCGTGGTGCATAACCAAGAGTTGTCGGCCCATAATTTCGGTCTCTTCTTGTGAATAGCTTCGCGCAAAACAACGCATAATACTAGGTTTTGCGATCTGCACGTAAATTTTTCGGCTTCGGATCACCTTTGCTACGATATTCGGTCGATTTATCGTATTTTTCCGGGTCATAAGCAAGACTCGTTGCCAGTAATAATACTCGACATCCTGGTAGTCAGAGCGCACGTTAGCGCGACTCTATTCTTAGGAAAAATTTAGTGATTTTGGAACCAATCGTGCTGCCACTTTTCTTAGACGCTAATGGTCTTTCAAAATGGGCTTTTGATATTCCAACGATACCAGTAAAATAGTTGACTGTCAATCGCCGTTTCTCCAGTACTAGTTGCTTTATTTTATTAGCTGATTTTGATGGCAGTCCCAGACGTGCCGCAGTAAACAACTGCGCGAAACAATACAACAAATATTTAAGGCCTTTTCCGACATTCTGAACGTTTCGGCACCAGAAATTTGACTTCGCATACAAAATTTAATGAAACTTCATTGTTGAATAATTTCGCTCATCGTCAAAATCGTCGAATGCACTTTATGTACCTCAGAAAGACAAGCCTATACCAAACACTAATGACCTTACGCACCGATGTTATTGACTGTCATACCAATCTACATCTAACTCTACTTCCCATATAAAAAAAACTTTAAATTCCAACTGATGTTTTCATAAAACTTTGTCCGAATAGTGCGGCTGATGTAGGCCACCTTAAGATCAACAATTGTCAAAATGCTACTACAACTGTTCAATACCCAGATAGCGAATATGTTTAGCTCAATACCTACAACGAACACTTTATCGAAAGTACCGGTCATCCTTTGAGAAATATTATTGAAACTCGGGGCAAGTTATTAACTGATAACAGTATGCATGTATGTCAAAAATATGTTGAAGCGAATGATTTCGCAAGTTTTGCTAACACCTACATATGGTAAGTATTTCGCCTGCTTTGATCCTTGTCAGTTGTAGGAGTATACATTCACAGCCGAACTTAAAACTTCCTTACTTGTTTCACTTTCCAGTATGCTATCAAGCTACAACCAATCTATCGGACTAAAACTTTGCACAAATTGTGCCTTAATGTATACCATATAACCTCTTTTCTAAAAATTATCAAAATCTATGTAGAATCTGAGTAGTACATCTCTTAGCCTCATATACTTAATATAAAGATTTTCAAACCTCCACATACTTCCGCAATGTGTGAGATAATAATAGTGTATCGTTGTCCTTGAAAGCAATAAAATCGGGTAAAATTTGCCCTACGGAAATGATAAAATGTTCCCAAGCTCCCGCTTGACTTGGCACTTTATACATTAGTCGATAAATATACCATATATAAAAATGTAGCTTGGCTTTATACCGTATATGTATATCGGTCAATATGTGAGGCATTTGGGCAGATTAAGTGGAAATATAGCAGTGGATATACTATGACTTAAGCAGAAAGTAAGTGAAATCGGTCCACGAATTTCCCCAGCTAGTTGTGCCACCAGCTGAAGATATTTCCCGGGCTTTGATCCTT